TGGTTAATGTTATGTTGAAGTGAACATTAGAAGTCGTAGACCCTAAAATTGGGTCTGCTGTTCAACAGCGGTTATATATGTATATATATATATATATATATATGAAGAAAAAATAAAGAAAAATTATACACATGAAAAAAAAGGGGGGGGGAATAATAAGTAAAAAAATAACAAACAACAGTTAAAAAAAAAGGATGAAATTTTATTTAAAAAAAATCGGAAAAAAAGATATAATCTTATCATCAGCCCACACGATTATATCCGCAAAACAGAGTGTTTTCTGATATTGTATCAATAAAGCCAAAGCGAAATATATGAATACAATAGTGTGAGGAGCACTCAAAATTTTTTTTTACAAAAATTACAACAAATAAAATAGAACACAAAAAGTGAAAATAAGTAAAAATAACATGTAAAAACAGAAAAGAAAAGAAAAGAAAAAGAAAAAACAGTATAAAAAATGGACTATAAAGCGAGTAGCGAAATCAGATCACGGGAAATTTTTCAAGAATGATTTAAAAATGTTTTCGCAGAAAGATTGCCAGATTACAAAATATGTAAACAAAAGCGCAAATTGAGTGTAAATAGAGGGTTTTAATGTGCCGCTCTTACAGAACTGCTGAAGTGATTTGTTATTCTGTGCATTGATTTGTTAGTTACCAAGGATGGGCCCGAAATGGATGTGCGCAAGGTAATATTATACAGGATAATTTTAAAAATTGACCATAAATAGTTTTTGAAAATAGATGTTTATTTAAGAAAAATGTAAACTGGAAAAGAGAATCATAAATTGCCTGTTTTGTAAATAATTTTAGCCACGGATTTGCACGAAATGGATTAGCACATGGAAAAATTAACAAAGAAAAAATTTAGTAGATAATTTTAGCCACGGATTTGCCCGAAATGGATTTGCACATGGAAAAATTTTATAGATTAACAAGGGAAATTATTTAGTAAAGGAATTTTTTAGTATATAGTTTTAACCACGGAATTGCCCGAAATGGATTTGTACATGGAAAAATTATACAAATTAACAAAGAAATTATCTAGTAAATAATTTTGGCAATGGATTTACCCGAAATGGATTTGCACATGGGAAAATTATATAAATTAACAAGAAAAAATATTTAGTAAATATATCCACAAAAATATACGATTAATTCAATGATTTTATATAAAATTTTATTACTTTTGTAGGGTATCCATTGTTTTTTTATCAAATTTGGAAGGAGTTTATCGATTTGTTTTTTGGATAAATAAATATTATTCTTTTAATTCTGCTAATTTCATTAAAAGTGGTATTTAAATAGATGATCCTAGAAACATTAGAATTCCAAGTAATTAGTTTATTAATATTAAAATTAAAATCATTTCTTTTATCGTATTAATCAACAAAGCAGACATTTTCAACGTTCATAATACCCAAATCCAAAAAATTGAAATTAATATTATCATCATGATTACGAAGCAAGATTAATTCCTCAGGGTATATATCATTCAATAAAATAATAAAATCTTGGAAATTAAAGATAATTAAGTCATCAATATATCTAAAAACAAATTTAATGCTAAGAGTATAATTTTTTTGATAATAATGCGAAAATAAGTTAGCTAAGAGAGATGAATAATTAGATCCTTGTGGTATTCCATTAATTTGAAGAAAAATATCCTTTCCATTGTAAAGATAATTTCTAAAAAGACAAAAATTAATCAGAATTTCCCAATAATCAAAATCGCAACAAAGGATATTTTTAAAATGATAGTAATAATTCAGAAGGTCATCTTTTAGTTTAGAAAGGGGAATGCTATTGAAAAGATCCTGGAAATCAAAAGCCGCAATAGAATTAATTTTATTATGCTTAATGAAATCCAAAATCGGTTGATTATTAGTGATAATCCAAGAGAAACCTTCTTTAGTAATATTGTTAATAATCTTATTTAAGTAGTTAGAGAAAATGGTGCCAGGTTTAGTTAAATAAGTATTAGACCCACATGTGATAGTTCTAAATTTTACTGGAATTTTATGAAATTTAGGACTGATAATTAAGTAAGGAAATTGTATATTGCTAATTTTAATTT